GTGCTGGTGACGAAGGCGATCGCGGGTGCCGACGGGTGGACCGACCATCGCCTCGTCATCTCGAAGATGCGTATTCGCCTACAGCCTCACAGGAGACCACAAGGTAAGCGATCCCCAGGTAAGCTAAATGTTGGTTTGTTGTCTTTGCCCGCCCACCATCTTCATTTCAGAAACGAGCTAGCTCAACGGCTAGACAACCTTCCTATCGCTGCCGCCGCTGCAGAGAACGCCTCCGTGGAGAACCGCTGGTGTCAACTGCGAGACACGGTCCAGTCGACGGCGCTCACCGTCCTCGGTCGCGCTCCCCGCCAACACCAGGACTGGTTCGACGACAACGACGCCGCCATCAGAAATCTGCTAGCTGAGAAGAACCGCCTACACAAAGCCTACGTAGATCACCCCAATGAGGACAACAAAGCTGCCTTCTACCGCAGTCGCCGCCAACTTCAACAACGTCTGCGCGAGATGTAGGACGCCTGGACTGCTCGCAAAGAGGAGGAGATCCAAGGCTACGCGGACCGCAGCGAATGGAAGAACTTCTTCTCCGCGATCTAAGCTGTCTACGGTCAGCCGACGAAGGGCACTGCTCCTCTCCTCAGCGCCAACGGCAGCACTCTCCTGACTGAGAAGACGCAAATCCTACAGCGATGGGCCGAGCATTTCCGAGGCGTCCTCAACCGCCCCTCCGTCATCTCCGACGCCGCCATCGCCCGCTTGCCGTAAGTGAAGACCAACGTGGACCTCGACCTCCCGCCATCTCTCCAGGAGACCATCAGGGCCGTGCAGCAGCTCTCCAGCGGGAAAGCACCCGGATCGGACGCAATCCCTGCTGAGGTCTACAGGCACGGAGGTCCCCTACTGATGGATCACCTGACTTTGCTCTTCCAGGAGATGTGGCGTCAAGGTGAAGTCCCGCAAGACTTCAAAGACGCAACCATCGTGCATCTCTACAAGCGCAAAGGGAGTCGCCAAGTCTGCGACAATCACCGTGGCATCTCTTTGCTAAACATTGCCGGGATGATCTTCGCTCGCATTCTTCTCAACCGCCTCAATAACCATCTGGAACAGGGCCTTCTGCCGGAAAGCCAATGCGGCTTCCGTCGTCATCGTGGGACCACGGATATGATCTTCGCCGCCCGTCAACTTCAGGAGAAGTGTCAGGAGATGCGGACTCACCTGCACTCTACCTTCGTGGACCTAACGAAAGCCTTCGACACGGTGAATCGTGAAGGACTGTGGAAGATCATGCAAAAATTCGGCTGTCCGGAGCGATTCACTCAGATGGTGCGTCAGCTGCACGACGGTATGATGGCGCGATTCACGGACAACGGTTCCGTCTCAGAGGCATTCGCAATGACCAACGGAGTGAAGCAGGGATGCGTGCTGGCACCAACCCTCTTCAGTCTTATGTTCTCTGCCATGCTGATGGACGCCTATTGCGACGAACGCCCCGGGATCCGCATCGCCTATAGGACAGACGGTCACCTGCTGAATCAACGGCGGATGCACTTCCAAACGCGCGTATCCACAACCACCGTTCACGAACTCCTCTTCGCCGACGACTGCGCCCTGAACACCACCTCGGAAGAGGAGATGCAACGGAGCATGGACCTGTTCTCCGCCGCCTGCGAGAACTTCGGTCTGGTCATTAACACGCAGCAGACGGTGGTGATGCACCAACCGCCAACCAACTCAGCCACAGGCCCCAATGCGCCGCCGCAAATCAGCGTGAACGGAACCAAACTGCAAGTGGTGGAGAACTTCCCGTACCTGGGCAGTACCCTCTCCCGCAACACCAAGATCGACGACGAAGTCGCCAACAGGATCTCGAAAGCCAGTCAAGCCTTCGGTCGCCTCCAAAGCACAGTTTGGAATCGCCACGGTCTTCAGCTGAGCACGAGGCTAAAGATGTACAAGGCCGTCATCCTGCCGACACGACTGTATGGAGCGGAGACTTGGACGGTGTATACAAAGCAGGCACGCCGACTGAACCATTACCACCTTAATTGTCTTCGTCGCATCCTGAGGCTGAACTGGCAGGATCGAATCCCCAACACGGAAGTACTGGAACGAAGGGGAATCCTCAGCATCTACGCCATACTGAGACAAATGCAGCTGCGCAGGAGCGGCCACCTGGTGCGCATGGACGACGAGCGACTACCAAAACGGCTCTTCTACGGAGACGTCGCGACGGGTTCTCGCCGTCAAGGAGGCCAAATTCGCCGTTACAAGGATACCCTGAAGTCCTCCCTGAAACGCCTGCAAATCAACCCGACCAACTGGGAAGAGCTCGCACTCGATCGACCGACCTGGAGGAGGACAGTGAAGACAGGCGCTGCGATCTACGAAGCCAATCACATCGCTGCCGCCAAGGCGAAACGCGAAGCCCGCAAATCCCGACTTCGCCCAGTACGCAACTCCGCCGCACAACCGCTTCCAACGTGTCCTCGATGTCAACGGAGATTCCGGGCTCGAATCGGACTTGTTGGACGCCTTCGGATCAACTACGCCTCTCGAATTGCACCAACCATCGTCCCCCGCCCGCCTCTTCCTCCCCTCCGCCGCCAACTAAATCTGACAACTCTTCTGAACCACCACTTCCATCCTTCTCCTCCTCCACTGCTCCCACGACGGCCGCTCAGGCGACTGTCCCGCGCGCAACAATCGACACCATCAGCACCTCCTCCGACTCCAGCGATGAGGATCAGGACTACACCTGCCCTCACTGCGACCGCACCTTCACCTCACACATCGGCCTGGTCGGTCACTTGCGAATCCATCGCACAGAGACTGGCGAACCAGTGCCTGGAGCACCCACCTATACCCACCAAGCTCGTCTCAACTGCCCACACTGTCCTCGCACTTTCAGGCATCGCATGGGCCTATTCGGCCAAATGCGCATCCACGAGAGCGGCATTGACCGCACTCCTGACACACCCACCACATCCAACACATCCACCATGCCCAGCCCCACCCTCGCTCCATCCGTCTGCACCACCACCACCACAACCACCACCACCACCACCACCATCACCGCCTCCTCTGTAGCTGACACTGACACCGCCGACTTCTCATGCCCACACTGTCCACGCACATTCACCTCACGCATCGGCCTGGTCGGTCACTTGCGAATCCATCGCACAGAGACTGGCGAACCAGTGCCTGGAGCACCAACCTACACCCACCGCACTCGCCTCCACTGCCCACACTGCCCTCGCACCTTCACGCATCGCATGGGTCTATTCGGCCACATGCGCATCCACGACGACCTGCGGTAGACAACCGCCGGTCACACCACACATTCCCTCACTCCCTACCTCCTAACACCATCACCCCACCAGACATCAACCCCCACACACCTCATGCACTCAACTGCCGCCTCCCACGCAAGTGGGAAGTGTGCATCTCGACTCGGTCCCCATGCGGCTTCGGCTGCACGGGTGACTTGTGTCCGAGACGATCCCGACACGTCAAGCGTCGTGGATAGGAAGGTTGCTGATTGAGGCCTGCTCTCGGTTCACGCAGTTCGTCACGTTGTGTGTGTGTTGTGTGTAGTGGCGGACTGGTGGGCTGGTGGGCTGGGGATGGGCTGAAGCAGCACCTTCCACGGCCCTCTCACGCAAGTGGGAGACACGCCGTTCTACCTCCGTTGTGTGAAATCCTGGTGTTTGTGTGTGTATGGGGGGCCAGGTAGTGCTGTGGCGCGCGCAGGCATGGTCAGTCGACCGTGTCAGCCACCGCGCCCATTCCCCACTCCAGTCTGCTGACCGGCTCGGACAGCGGCTGGGGTGTGGGATGGGAAGGGAGAGTGAGGTCGACGACTCAGCGCACTTTCTCCTCACTATAAACAATCTGACGCGCTTGAAGCTATCACGGTGCTCTAAAAGCCGTGGCTTAGAAGATTGCCAACTGACGGGGTAACTTGGACCTCCTCCTTGACTGGAGGCTGTCTGAGAGTCAGGCTGCAATGGCTCCTTTTTAATTTGGTCGTATGGCACTCGCATCACAGTGTGGGATCCGAGCCAGGCGTTGGCGGCACGCCCAGGTGCGGCTTTGGCCGTGCCAGCCTCCAAATCTCTCTTGTTTTGGTTGAAATCCTGGTCATTTGTTGTGTGGATCAGGGGGTGTGGTGGAACGCCAAGGTGAGGATCCGTCCGAGCCATCCACCTGCGGCCTCCCTCGTCTCCGGTCTTCTTGACTCTGTCTTGACACCGGGCCCAGGGGGGGGGGAGGAGAGAGTGTCGGTAGATGCAGCGCAAGTCTACCCGCACTATAAACCCCTGCGCAAGTCGCCGTCCCTGCTCCCACCGTTGCAGCTGCAGCTGTGAGGCACACGGTGGACATCATCGAAATCGATGGTCGAACTGTCGTCGTGTGTGTGTGTGTGTGTGTGTGTGAGAGAGAGAGAGAGAGAGAGGGTGATTGGTGTAGAAATAGAGTATTTATATTGTGTTTATGGCTTTTCTCTTAACGGTAGTTTTCAGTTGCCCAGTTGCACACTGACACAAGGACATCGCATAAATTAAATGGCCCAGTGCGGCCAATCGTTATTTTAAAAGGCAGCCTCACCTATAATTTGGCAAAGTGGATGTACTCAAAACTAAAGTTCCTCCAAAGTAATTCGATTGCCTCAGTTCAATCAGGCTTTCGATTTCTCATAGACCTCTGAGATCAGAGAATTCAAACGGATGAAATCATGGTCTCTTTTGATGTGACGTTGTTATTCACATCCATTTCACCAAATTTGGCGCGCGAAGTCTTGTGCAAGAGACTTGAAGAGGCGAACGACGAGACTCAAAGTGCGCTCAAAACTAATCACTTCATGAGGCGGTTTGGATTCTGCCAAAAACTTCCTACAGTTTTGCTGGAGAGACCTATGAGCAGATAAAGGGATCTCCGATAGGCTCACCGGTCTCCGGTTTAATGGCAAAACTGGTCTTACAGTAGTTAGAAGAGATTGCCTTCATCCAGCATGAGCCGGTATTTCGGCGCTGTTGCGCAGTCGACCGAATGCTTGGCTGGCCTTGGAGATCCGACGGACCACTTCGTCGTCAATTTCGGTGCAGTATGAGAGGGTGCCCCCCAAATAAACGAAGTTGTCCACAGCTCTCAGTTGGGTGCCGTTGACATAGATGCGAGGAGCACTGCATGCACCGTTGGGTGGAGGTTGATGTACGGTAACCATTTTTTTCGTGTTGATGGTCAGCCCGTATTTGGCGCAGCCGGCGGCGAAGAGGCCCATGCCCCATTGCATATCTGCTTCTGGCACGGCGCTGAGCCCGAAATCGTCCGCGGAAAGGAGGTAGTAAATAGTAGTCGTGGAGAAACGCGTTGGGGCCTGTTGAGAAGATGGCTTTCGGTCCTGTTGGTGATGGGAATTCCGGGTGCTCGTCACGGTAGGTGTCCATCAGCGGTGGGGGGCGAGTACGCAGCCCCGCTTCTGAGACGGTCTCGTTGTCAGTGATACGTGATACCATCCCATCGCGGAGCTGACGCATTATCTGGGTGAGTCACTCAGGACAGTCACATTTATGTATGATTTTCCAGAGTCCATCTCGATTTGTCGTGTCACATGCCGTGTCCACAAAGTAACATAGGGATGGGGCCGCATTTCCTGCCACTCCTCTTGCAGCTGCCAGGCAACGAAGATAATATCAGCGGTTCCGTGATGCTGTCGAAGACCACACTGGCTTTCGGGGATTAGTGTCTGTTATGGATGTCCGTTGAGTCGATTAAGAAGGATGTGAGCGAAGACCTTCCCCACGATGTTGTGCAGTGAGATTCCTCTGTGGTTATTCCAGAGTTGCCGGTTCTCTTTCCGTTTGTAGAGATGGACACCTGTCGCATCAATCAAATCCCGTGGAACGTGTCCTTGGCACTGGATTTCCTGGAATAGCGTTGTCAATTTGCCCATCAGTCGGGGGTCGCCGTGCTCGGCCGAGATGACATCGGATCCCGGTGCTTCCTCGTTGGAGGGTTGGTGAGCGGTTCGGGTAGTTTCTAGAAGGGAGGGCGGTAGATCCATGTCGTCGTTCGTTTTCACTAGAGAGAGTCGGTTGATGGTGGCGTCGGAGGTTTTAGACAGGCGGTTGGGGATACTTCAATAGTGCTCGGCCCAGTGCTTCAGAATCTATGAATCTACAAACCCCTTATCCACGAGGTGTTAAGCAGTGTCCTTCCTAAATTGGGCTGCTAAATCATCGTAGATGGCTGACGAACACCACTGTGGGTCACGGTTTTGCTAGTGGAGAGCGCCCCGTGTTAGCCTGGGCGGTCTACGGAATTGTACGTCATCCTCTTCTTAGGACCTTTGAAGTTGGAAGGAGAAAATAGGGAAAGGAAAGAGGAGGAGAAGGGGGAAGATGGGATGGGAAGAGGATTGCTGGGTATTGGGACACACAGCACCAACAACCCTTATCTTATCTGGTTTAGTCCACCGGTCTAGGTGGTTACCGGGGTGGGGCTGCTAGATAGAGCCTAATTTCGATGAACCACAGAGGAGACTTTGGTGACAGTTTAGGACCGTGAGGAGCAGCCACCATTTGCATGATGCAGCCTACCACTCGTGCACGGGTGTGCCTAACTGGACACTCCTACGCCGCACCATGTTATTAGCAAGTCAAGTCCCGTTCTTCTATGGGCAGAATTTAACAAAAGTGTGAGCCCTGAATGTCTACTTCTGTGACCGAACTCATCCATTCATCGGTGAAATATGATCAAAGATGCTGAAAACGGTTATACTTCGTCTAAAGTTAGACTGGGGCTGAATTAATCGGCGCTCACTGTTCTCAGCAACCTTCTATCTTCTCTACTGAATGTCTTCTTCGGCCGACTGATTCCATGATCTCGTCCGTTTACAGCAATATTTTCATAACTACCAGATAATATTCACGAAGTTCTCCCATTCACATTAGGATTGTGGGAAATTGGCCGTCTAAACAAACTACTCCTTGACATTTTGGAGGGTTACAAGGTCCGCTAATCTCTCGACCTCACTATTGCCAATCTTCCGCAGTTCATCTGCATCACATATTATGGCCACTAGGATCACTCCCAGTTGCTGTCGCCCAAGATCCAGAAAGCCGTTTCCTGCGGCACAGAGGCTTAAGGTGCACGAATATGAACACGGTGAAATATCAACTTTTCTTTTCAGGGGCGTTTTGTGCAATGTGTGTAGAATGCTTTTTTTTACCAGCACTATGTACTTTTATTGCTGGGTCGAGGACGTGGTGTGATGGCGACACTAAGTCTGTCGGATTGAGACCTACATTTCTGTAATCGTCTGCTATGCCTGGATCAGCAAACCATGGTCCTCGCAGCCTGGTATGCGCTGGTTATTTTCCGACACCTGGTTCCCTGCCGGTAGATGTGCTTGCGCTCCCGCTGGGTGTACAGGTCGTGAGCATGGCTGCCCAGTCATCCTCGTGCTCCGGCCCGTCGTGGTGTTGTTGATAGTTAAAATCCTGGCCAATTGTTGTGTGGACTAGGGGGTGTGGAATGGAGCGCCAAGGTGCGGGCTAAGCCGTGCCATCCACCTGCGTCCTCCCCCGCCTCCGGTTTTCTTGACTCTGTCTTGACACCGGACTTTGGTGGGTGAGGAGAAAGTGCGATAGGTGCGACGTAAGTTCACACTTGCTGTAGACTAAATCACGCGCAAGTCACCGTGCCTAATTCACCTTGCTGTGGAGCAAATGGTAGACATCGTCAGATACGACAGTCTAACTGTCAAGTCTGTCGGATGTTTTTCTGCAAATCACTCTTATAAAGGTGGTAGACCGCGCCCTATCCTGGCCATGTTTGTGTGTACGATTCTGACAGTCGACTTCTGTTAGACGAACGGCTTGTGATGTTGTAGCGGCTAAATTTATGAGTATACTTTAACCAGCACGGCCTCTGGCGAAGTTCTGTTAACTGGGGAAAACGAAAGACGACAGAATGAGGTATTTATTATGTACAGCATCGTGAATTGCCGCCCAAACACTGGTGACCGCTGGCAAGACCATGACATGTGTAACAATTCTGAGTCCTACCTGAGAGAACGTCTAAGTTGCTAACTGCTTTATATATAACACTGTGTTCAGGTGCGCGTGGGCGTCCAGTTACCTGAGTCTTGGATGCACTGGCCCGGTCGGTACGACCGCAGGTGGGACTTTGTGTGAGAGTACCGGTCGAAGAGAGTATGCGCAGGCAATGGCGGAACCTAAGCGACGAATACGGTTCAGGGACTGTGATGCGCATGTCACCGCAGACGGCTATCGTTATGGAGCATTCATATAGCCAAGGGTTGTGTTTGTATGTCTTTTCAAGTTCAAGCCTTTCCAAGGGGAACACGGGTGCCCTTCCAGTGTTAAGTTATCCCGACCTAGAATTTGGGTGTTGCGTGCGAAACGACAAAGAGGCGAGATTCGGTAATTCCGGTTTCCCCAGTCTTTATTGACAAAATTTATGGGATGTTACTTGGCACACCAGACATTTGACACAATGGCGAGGCTTGGAGAGGCGAACTCGAGGGCAAACGCCCTGCATGTCGAAGATGATCGCGCAGAGTGGACCGTATATGACAGGTGAGACATCGGTCCGGAGGCTGGTGGACACACCTGATAGTAAGGCCATCGCGAACGACGGCGTACACTGTGTGTCCCACGGAGTGAAAGCAGCATCGGCGACTTACGCGTGAATTGGATTTTTTAGTGGGGCGGACTTGTGCAGCATCTACTGCACTTTGCCCAACCCCATCCACCAGGCCCCTTTGGCAAGACAATGATAAGGCGACCGGAAGTTGGCCCGAACGCAGTGGCTAACGAGGGTAAACGACCCGCCTACGCGCTCCTCACACGACCTGGTCACCTTAGAGTACACCGGACTTTCATGGACGGCGGCCCCGATCTCACGTGCATGAGAGCCGGAGGCATGTAATGCCGCATTCTATTACAAGTAATATTCACGAGGTCTTAATAACATGGCCCATAATTTGTTGCTTTGCTTGATTTCATGCAATAAATTCACAACTATCCCAAACAACAGAGGACTCTTTTACTAGCCAGCACAGGCCGATGCGTTAGACAGACCGGGTGATTGCTCTTCATAAGCGACGACAACCACAGCTGTTCGAGTAGCGTTTGTACGCAGGTTGGATTCTAGTTAGGGAGGCTTACGTAGCAACAACTGCAGTCGCTCTTCCTAAATTCACCATCTTGTAGTAGCAAGACAAGGTCAAAAGGCCAGAGATGGGTCTGGGTACAGTGGCCGATCTTTTATAGGGTTCTTGCCCACGTCTGCCACACACACAGCGGCGCGTACGCGCACATTTATGGCAGATCAGTAGGCCGGATCTTACATGGCTAAGGTTTGACAATGGGAGCCATTAAGCCATTACGACGTGGCAATCGGTCAGGGTAAGAAAATAATTCATCGATCTGGCATGGCACATCTACAGGTACATCAGAACCAGTAGTGTGAGGGAAAGATGCCTGCATCGTCCTCAACCTCCTTTCCTATCGTGTACAAGTGGCAGGTCTGAGTAGAGTCAACTGGAGATTAGAATATGTGTTATGGCATAAAAAGTTCTGTCTACACGAACCATTCGCGTGCTGGTCACGTCCTTCATTTGAACTTAACTTCAGTATCCCGGATTCCACATTGATAATAGTCGTCGCGAAGGTCGAACTAAGAAGCTGCTGCAGCTCGACAGCCAGTCTGGAGGAGAACCTTGTCGTCTCAGTCGATTGACAGCCCTCTAGGCCACGAATATTAGCTGGACATTATAGCTTTAAACCCACCCGACTTACTATAATGAGGAGGTAGATGTGAGACAGCCAATAGAAGCGAAGAGACGAGTCCCAGGAAGTAGTCTTGAAGAAGGAGACACGATCGCTGGGACAAGAGCTTTATTAGCCTGACGTTTCGGATGCCTGCTCGAACCCATCACCAGAGACAAAAGCAGGTACGGGGGGTTCATGCACCAGGGGCTGCAGTATTTATAGGATGCAGTACCCATGCCACCGCATTCCTATGAACATTCACGGCTCTCCCTTCATCCGGAATCGTTGCACGTGGTGTGCTAATGGCTTGATGGCCGACGTTTGCGTCGTTAATTGCTGCAATTTCATCACGTGCGTTGGATGCTGGTGTGATGATTGCTCGACCATCTGACGCATCGATCCTGGTGTTGGGAGAAGTGTTCACCTGTGCGCTCCCCGCGTGACCAACTACTCCGCCTAGACGAAGTCTCAGCACGGAGTATGGAGGGGGAAGTTCATTGCACTTGTTAATGGACTGGGGGCCAGTAAACCATGATTCAAGTAGCTCCCGGCTCACGCGGTTGTCACCTCTTGCGAGAATTTCGGCCTCGTCGAATTTGAGTGTGTGGCCGGATCTCGTCGAATGAGCCGCAACTTGGGAGCTGGCGTCATTTCTCCGTACCGCTGCAGCGTGTTCAGCCATTCTCGTTCGGAGCTGTCTTCCGGTTTCTCCGACGTAGTTGCTTTGTCCGCAACTACACCAGATCCGATAAACGACTCCAGACGTTTCTGGCCGTGGTAGCGGGTCTTTCGGTTTCATTACCAGACGCCTGATGGTTGCCTCCGGTCTGTGTGCCGTGAATGTTCATAGGAATGCGATAGCGTGGCGACTGCATCCCAAAAATACTGCAGCCCCTGGTGCAGGAATCATCCGTATCTGCTGTTGTCGCTGATGATGGGTTCGGGCAGGAATCCGAAACGTCAGGCTAATAAAGCTCTTGTCACAGCGATCGTGTCTCGTTCTTCAAGTTAGACAGCCCTTCATTTCCCTACCTTTCCCTTAACTGCCAAATACTGATGACCTGTTCGAGTCTCCCTGACAGGAAATGAATTCGGGCGCAGTGACCGACGAGGTAGGCAATTGCAGTCCGAGTAGCTCCAGGGTTACTGTTTGTCGCGTTCTGGAGTTCTCCGGGAAAACCTTGGACCATCCGAGAGTTTGCCCCTCTGGAGGTAAACGGCAAAGGACGTGGCATCAGCACATAGAAGACCGCAATTTCCCGGATGTTGACATAAAAGAAATATTTACAGTACAAAAACGAATCGGTGCAATAGTTGGCTCGACAAACTCGATGAGGGTCATCACTGCCAAGAGAAGCCTTAACGACAAGTGCATGGATCGGGTTATAGTAAGGGAGGACTGTGCGGCATCGACCTGACTTTTCTTACACACCCATCGTGGTGCAGGGACACGAAGAGGTTAGGGCTACTAAACGTGGGTATAGACGCAGGAGCTAAACTGACATAAAGCTCCCCTACACGCAGACCATGCATGCGCTGTCCCCTGCTTCCCACGAACCAGATTTCACTGGATTAAATATCATAGCGATGCCATCGTAACCTAGTCCTTGCTCCGTAGGAAGTCGTTGTCTAAACAGCTGACCGCCTTCAAACGTATAGAGGTTAAAGCGCCGTGATTACCCACGGGCGCCAGATTAATTATAGCGAAGGTCGCGCATTACGGGTCTGGCTGTCCCTTCTCCCCCACAATAAACTGGCCTTGAGACACGTCAATTCGTCGCAACGGGAGGGAAGGTATTTTGCACTTCCCCTTGCGCGCTATAAGTAGTCTATCCGATTCAGGTCTGGCCTGATACAGACTAATGGAGATGTCGGTCTATAAGTTGGTCATAAGTTAGTAACATTAGCGACACAGGGCTGGTGAGGTAGAGCCTGAAATCTAACGCAAGTACTTATGTTAAATTACATAAACTCCAGCCGACCTAGAAAGTCTGGATTCTGACGGCATAAATCCAATTAATTACAGACAAAAAACAGTCTACTTTTAAACCCAAGGCTACATTAGAGGCCACATAGGAAACGTCGACAGCCTCACGAACTAAGTACAGTCCACCACAACTTTGTCAGGCCAAGTGTATGCCTCGGCTCTTGGCTACTGTTTTTAGGGTGAGGTGAAACAGTTTCTGATTGTACCCATCTACGCTATCTCCAGACCTGCAAGGCTAATGATACTGCGGTTAAGATGGAGAAAGGGCGACGGGTACTTCGCAAACTAACATGACCCCACCATTAGTCTAAAACGGAATTACTAATTGCCGAAAACACTAATTAATCAATAAAGCCCGGTAGTCACTTGGTGGATTCTAGATTTATTGCCTAGGAAATGGTGCTTGGGTCGTCAGTTTCCTGTGTCGGAACTGGTGAATTGCATACGTTGCGGTAGGCTGGGCAGATAACCTGACGCAAATATGATTACATTCCCGTTTACAGGTCGGAGCCACGTAGATCAGGTGGTTGGAGCGTTAGCTGTGCTGAAGTCTGGCCCTTGCTGTCTGGGGTTCGAATCCCGCCAAGGTCGCCAAATTCTTAACGATGGGGCCAAATATAATGAATGTGTAACCGAACAGCTTTGGAATTTAAGTCGGCAGACGACATAGGGTTAACGCAGTTGGTGGACGACCTTATTCCCAGGAAGTTGATGGCTCACTATGTCTCAGGACTAACTTTTCCTGGATGTGCCAGTTTTATCGGCAGTCGACATACCTCAACCGGTGGAGGTCTGGGGTTCGAAAAACGAAGTTTGCGGACAGCGGTAATGGAGAGGCAAGTAGTGCCAAACTAAACGCGTCACGAAGGTCACTAAGCATCTACACGTCCGGAACTCGCCTGTCAATCAGCTACATCAGGAGATGCGAGAGCAGCCGCTGCGGTGAGACTCGCCGTACTAAAGCCGCAGACGGGTGAACCGCAACTAACAATTATGCAGAACGCGGTGTCACTGCACCCTTAGTCAATCGAAATCAGTAGCGCTTGTGAGACGTCAGGAGGATGGGCATGCAGTTCCTCACTATAAATGGTTGAGGCCATCAGCGCACATAGTGAACGTCTCCTAACGGCCTACCTAAGTATATCTGACGGGCACTTTGGGTGCTAGACGGACACACTTTCCGAAAACGAGTGACATACAGCGAAACCGCAAGAACGATGAAGTCAAGACAGACACTGGGTCGATAGAGACCGGCAACCTGGAGATAAAAAACTATTGGTCAACGGCTAAAACAGGCACGACTGCTCCACCACACAAGGACTCTGCCGGACGGTCACTGCGGACGCAGTCAACAATACGAACTAGTCTGACTTCCGGCCTTTCTAAAGATTCTTGCAGATTCGAGCGGAATTTCCTCTCAATACCTCGTTCGTGATGACTGCACTTGCTCGCTATAGCTGCGATCATGCTTGATCTGATTGACTAGGATGATGTCGCGGAGCGTACCTCCCACGCGTGACGATCCGCGGCTGCAGACTTGGAGGGCGCGCCTTCCTCCCTTTCTTCGGCGACGGAAGCCGAATATCGAAGGTCCAATGAACACCTCTATGTCTTAGCTCGCCGAGTTGACCTCTTGGCATCTTCAGGAAGACAGCAAAGATATATCAAAGACAGCAACGCGAGTTTTAGGGTGGACGAATGTGACGCGCGCAAGCGTTATTGGCTATCTGGGCGATGTATTAGCGAATGTGAAATGTCTCACTCTAGATGAAATCAGTGAACTTCGTCGTAGGGATGGTTTACAGACAGCAATGGTCACATGCGTCCAGTTCTCGCTCATCTTCCACCCACGCAGCCCAGTACTTATAACTGCATAGGGCTAGTCAAACGGAGACAGGATACACGTGCGTTATTGTGGCCATGGAGATACCATGCCAGCTCCGTGAGAATTTTATAATAGTTATAAAAACTGAGGATCACACGACACTGCATGGGCTGGAAACGAGTAAAATTCTGTCGCAGGGCAAAGTGGACGGAATGGAAGAAATCTCGTTGCTGGACCTAACTTGCACTCTGAACGGACAGCCGTAGGGATCTCTACCTGATCCAGTCGTTGCGGTGTCGCTGGGTGAGTCGGAGAATCCACCCACTACAACGCGAACCGACGACTTCATCGACGATCATTCCCTACGGCCCTTTCATTTCACTCAGACTGCGGATTTGCTCAGAACTTCGGCCGTGTTGTCACGATTTCGTGATGCCAAGGCATCTTGCACGAGACAAGTAGGGCACGGATTTAAGGTGAATTCTCAGGTGTGTGTGTGTGTAGGTGAAGACATGGCGCGAACAATAGGCCCCACCAGTTCCAGCAACACTCATCCAACAGCGGCAAGGAACACAGGCGCAAAACCTTAACAATGACTAGAATGTAATCCGGCTGGTTGTACGACTATCGCCTGAATACCAGGTCAACGGACGCTTGCATTGACACCGGAAACATGCAGTTGCGGTCAGTCGGTTGAACATCGCCTAGCCTAAAGAGGCCAGAAAAGATGGTTATCTGAAATGTCACCCGACCCAGCTGGCCATTCCGATCACCAGAAACAATCAGCAAGTCGCATGAAGGTTTCGCTGCTACTAGTTTGTTTACCACATGGGTGGATGTCACCGAGATTTCTGACAAAAATGACCGCAACAACACTCATGCAAACACCGATGAGGGTTGTAGGAAATTTCCATGGCATTTGGGCGTAGTGGCCTGGGACAGTAAAGGGCACTAAAGTCACGTCACTAGGGAGTGGCTCAATCAAGTGTACAATTCGAAAACTATGACTCACCTTCGATGACAAGGCACCAAAACCCTCGCGTTGGATTAAAGCACTCTGGAAGAAATCCTTCAAGAGAATTTCCAAATTCTTAACCCAAATGGTGTTTATTGCCTTACTGAAGTAGAGCAGTGGATGTCATCGAACCCAATGCCCAGACATACCTCACCATTATCATTTTGTAAATGACTTTACAAAAGCCTGGACGGCCCGAACCCTGATCCGACTACTCCAATAGCAGTCTACGGACTCAGTCAGGCATTAAATGCCCCTAGATGTAACAAGCATCGAGGGCGCTAAGCACAACAGTTCAATTTAAAATTGACTACAGACCTTGGTGATAGGGTATTAGTCGGAAGTCGCTGGCAGTCCTATACTATCCCTTCACTTTAAGATCACACATCTACTTCCCAAAGGATTCCCTAATTGTGCGATACTTGGATGAGTGCTCGGGTTCGTGTTGGCCTGAATCCAACTGTAAGCGACTGTGCTAAAAGAAAGGAGTCCATTCCACAAAGCAATGTCACTTATTTGAGCGCACCGACAAAGGTGAGCCGGCATAGACGGACACAGAAGACCCTTCCCCAATATTGCTCATGGAGCGAGTCTGTTGAATGCTCAATGGCGCATCAAAGCCGCGACGCCGTCCAACAAATCAGAAAATTTAGATTTAAAAACTTTTTTATTTATATAAAAAGAGGATTTTATACACGTTCAAGGATTTCTACAACGTTGACGCTGTTTCCTCGCACGACAACAGTATCAATGCCAACTTGTTGTCCTGATTTTGTCACTTCCACACATTCCTCTAGGACGATATTCATGAAGGGATCAAAACCCCGGAGTAGGCCAATCACCTCGCGATTTCCATTGAGCTTCACTAGACGAGAATATAATGCCAGACAATTATAAAGGGAAATAGTCAAAACGAAGAAATTGTGAGTCAGATTAAACCGCATTCGAATGTCAAAATGATCAACGTTGCTACCAGATAGATTCTAATAGATGCATCCGGCAACAAGGTGCAAAATTTTAGGGTTTGACATTGACCACAGACGGGGCTCCGGTACCCTAAATGTAAAAAGAGCGACACCAAGAAAGGTTCAATGTGACACAGTAATCAGCGCAAACTATCTAACTGGCCAACACACGCATGAATGGGGCGGTCTTTAGTGTGGGCAAGCTCCCGAGCCAGACTAATTAGCGGAAGAGGGCCAGAAGTGGCAGGGATATCGGGGCGCGGAGGGTTAAAGTCCGGCATGTCGACTGCCCTATAAAATCCCTGAAGGGTTGACGATGGCATTTTCACATGATAGGAGTAAACCCTCGTCTTGTGGTTCGCTGCCAGCGAGCCAAGGCGCCAGGGCGACAAGCACGAATAAGACGACTGGGTGTACTGTTGAGGAATCGCCTGCAAATAGACTGCCGAAGACACCGAAGGAAACAACCGTCTGAGTATATGATCACGGCGTCTGTGACAGCTGGCGTGGTAGGCAACCCTGGTCTAGTGGCAAGAAAACAGTAAACAGGCACGACCACTCAGTTGGGAACGACCCCTGCAATTTGACTCCGGACTGAATGAAAGTGCTCTAGGCCTGGTCTATGCTCATTGACTCCCCTGTTGCAATTCCTGCGTCCTATTGCAAAAAGCGGCTGAACATGCATGGGGGGACATTGCATCCGGTGACGGTCTTGCGAGCTTAAACATTGAGGTAAAGCGAAGAGCACAAACCATTGCAACACGTCTCACTTCCCATGCCGTAGACGTGTTTGGCATTGTCAAGCTCGGGCGATTGGAGGTGGGACCCAAGTTCTGAGTTAGCAAAGTAACTGACGCACGGCGCATCCTGGAGTTTTAGTTAATACCTAGGCTGCGGACGGCCACTACTTGTCGAAGTCCACAAAGGTATTAATTACTGTGGCCAGAGCTCTATTCGTATCAACATCTCTGTCCACAACTGTTCGATACACGACCAGATGTCTCTCGACGACTTATATATCGTTTTCGATTAAATATGCCGTTAATATCGGATTCTTACACAGCGCCAGCTGACGGATTTTTAAAAATGCTCATGATGGCGTCCGGCTAATGTTTATTCTTGACGACCTAAAAGTTTAGGTGGAGCGGGTGATGGGAAGACCACTTAACTCGACTACCTGGGCTGCAAAAACCAAAGAGCTCAGAAAATGCATCTATCGGGAGGACGCAACCCCCTTTCTACTAACAGCCATCAACTTGAGGTGATATGTGGTTTAAAACATGACAGGGCAAATTTCTTCAGTAAAGAATCAGAATAGGGTTGACATGATAAAACGAGACGTGGCCCGCAGTCTCTAGGCGTTTGCAGGTGGCTATGGACAGGTGGGGATGCATTAATCACCCAAATAATGTCGTGCACTAAAAACATGTCCAACTGGTCTCTCATCTGCTACGAACGCCATGCAGTACATGTAGAAAGCACAGCTGTGACCCGAATATCCGCCATGTGGGCCACATCGACGTCTGGAAACGCGCCGCGAAAACACGATGGATGAGGCGACTTTGGCAATTCTCTGTCGCCTGTCATTTTGGCTCGCTACTAGGTTTCCAGAACCGAAACTCGACATCCCACTGTGGGTAACCAAAATCACTTCCAAAGCCTAGCTCTACTTCCGCATCAAGATGTCCAAATAGCTCTTGCAACATCGGCAGCAGGTCCTTATTGTTGGAAGCAGGTTGCTGGGCCCACGAAAAATACTCCGGGCGACCGTGGCGTGTGCATGCCCTTGCAGCAGGAGTATATCGCCCCGGGATCGGGTAAATAGCGGATTTTCGATATACGTATATCGAGTGAATAGCGTTTTTGTCCGGTGGATTTATATCGAGTAGATATCGAAGTTTCGATATACTCGAAAAACGACGCATAACAATTTACACGACCCCTTTTCCCCAAGGAAATACTACCATTTCATACTAAATCGACCTATATTGTTTCTGTCGGCCCTTCCAGTCCTCCCGAACCATTTATCGTAGTCGCATTTTGGACGACAAACAGGCATTGTGAGGAGCACTAAGACTAGCTAGAACGGGCGTAATAAGTTCCATCAAGCATGCTGACACATAGTATACAGAGACACCGAATTCAAACGCGAAATAGACGGCAAACAAGGCTTTGACATGATCGCACTGGCTCCGTACTGAATTGATATGAACGCCAGCAGCCATGGACAAACAAATCAAGCGTCTAAACGCTGGCAAATGCTTGCGTCGTTTACTGAGTGTAAGTGTTTGGACCACGTTAGTTAGGTTAACGAATACCCTGTGTATAGCACTCTACGCAACAGTATTCCCCATAGCAAAGGACCAGTACATCGCTAGCTTACAACTTGCATTACACAATAGCAATGCTCTAGTGTTGTGATTGCCGGACCCCGTTGGCTGCATTCGTGCAGACAACCCGCCGACGGACGTAGAATCACAAGTGGTCTTTTGCGTATTGATTGCATACAGCATTTAATGCCGCACACATTAATTAAACGCTCGGGTCAGAGCAACCCGAGTAGATTTAATAGGAATCACGTGCGAAAAGACAAAAAAACGGAAACTTACGTCGGAGTCGCTTGTCCAGGTACCTAAATGATTAATAATATAAGAGGGGTGTGAATATGCACATACTTCTTCAGGTCTGGCTGATGTGCGCGACTCATATTTCTTCAGGTGTAGCCGGGAGGGGACAAATTGCCGGCAGGGTGGCTTACTCAAACAAGGCGACCTCAAGCTAGTAAAGTTAAAGTTTCTGGCAAGGTCGTGAATATTCGGAAGCCAAAGTCCCGGAAAATCTGCAGAGTTTAGCCGGCTTTTAAAACCCAAGCTCGGAAGAGATCAATAATAAAACAATATATGGCATTAGATAACTGTGTGGCGAAGTTCCAAGTTTATTTAAAATCATTTCCGAATATCAGGAGACTCCTGGCAACCGCAGGCGGAACGACCGGCAGCGTGGATAAGCACATCGATATCATTACTATTTAGAATATCCAACAACAGTGCAAAACATGAATAAAGCTGCGATTGCAAATAATAAGGAGAGAAAAGGATGTCAGAGTCGTAAACGACCGACACAAATCTCAGTGTTAACTAGACACCAATGTATTCGTTTCTCTTCTTGCAGACATAACTATCTTTATATTCAGATAGTTTGCCCGGATTATAACATCTCCCTATTGATACCTTGAAAAACAGAGGTGGGCAGCTCGTCTGCGTGAACGTCCACGTGTAATGAATCATCGACTCCAAAAACATCAAAAATATTTCGTTGAAAGCTACCATTACTATTTTGTCCCGCAGTTTGTTAACAGTAGAATGACTCGATGATATGTCTCAGATCAGCTCACTTTAATGCACTCGAGGGGGAATATGCTGGAAATATCCCATAATAACATTCAATATCGTGTAGAGGTATCGAAATGGAGAATTTTTGAAATGCAATCCATGATGCATCATTGGTTGCCCTACTTATACCATTTGTCTGTTTTTTGGTGGTTGTCCTTTAATCGCGCTGCATTTACGCGTCGCGTAAGCGTCATTTTCTGTTGTCGCCGGAGTGATACACGTGACGTGACCGCGCCTGAGTTAAAATGTTGTTTTTGATTGATAACTGTTAACTGCTTTTACATCTTTTTTGACGGTGCTTACGCAGGGGTCAGAGAGCACACGTAGACGTCGTATATGGAGATATATGGAGCCGTCTCGACGTGCAACTGAAAAAATTGTTTAGAGAAGGCACATCGGAGCAGCAGATATTGCGGCTGTAAAGTTGGTTATTGACGGCCTTCCAGTTTATAGAAAGTCTATGATCGAAATGCGGCTTATTTTAGAAGAATAGTATGAAGAAGAAGGCATTTCTTTCGTGGGCACATATTTCGGAAACGGAAAGCCATTGGGCGTGTACGCTTTATGAAAAGCACTTGTAAGTGAGATAAAAGCTTAGATAAGCTATAATTTGCAACATGCAAATACGAAGTGCTGGCGACAGGGACATTAATCCCAGCAAGAGTTAAGACCGACAAATTCCTATTATTCACGGACATGCACAGGCCGTCTAGCTAAATTGTTTCGCAACATCATTCATCTTCATTTTGTCGACCATTCAGAACTCTTGTATCGGTTCCCCCTTTAGCATTTGGCGACCTCGGCGCGGTCGATACACAGTTGCGACAATAAGCTGAACGCACTCATCACGAAACTCCCGCTCGACTTCATGGTGCTGTTTTTTCAATGTCTCCTATCGCGTCTGTGAACGGGAAAACAGACTTGCCGACACACTGTCATGAGTCGATATTAATGTCATCAAACAACCTCAGCCCATAAAGTCTAGGTCGTGGTTCCGATCCAATTTGGCAGAACAGTCCCTTTAACAGTGTCAGTATCCGGGAGTCCTTCACACCTTCCAAAATTTAAACCTCCTATTATCAGCGGTATCTCTTCCCCCAAATCCATAAATACCGACACGGCATGCGGATCTGTCGTTGACGTTCACATCAACCACGGACTTTCTCCTGTCGCAGCTATTATCCTGGCTACTTCCTGCGGACCACAGCCACCCACGCTGCCGATAACACTACCGTGA